GGAGTAGGATTCCTCTGCCGGCTGCGGGATTTGAACTGGCAACCTTCCAGTCACAGGCGCATAACCTTAGCCACAGAGCCACCGCTCCGCCCCAAAATTGCAGGACTAGCCATTAAATTAATATTGTAACGAATTTCTCAGGGCGTGTGCCCTCACCGCTCCACCGCCGGGGCTCGAACCCGGATCTCCGCCGTCATGCAACAGGGAGATTGCCAGCTGAGCCAAAGGTGAACTCCCTTAATATAATATGTAGATCATAAATTATCACAACCTAAGTTATTTCCTAAAATGTTTGCAGATAATATGCATCATAAATATCAGAGAACTATGTAAATAACACTTGCCTTTGAATAAGATGCAGGATATTTCAGTTTTCTTGCTCATTACTTTCTAGGCCTGTGAAACTTTCCTTGAAGCAGTTATAGGCACTGATTGTACTTGCAGAAATAAAATAGCCCAAGGATGTTTTAGGGATTTTAAAGGACATCTTGTATAGATTGAAAACCTTGAGAAAAGCGCGTAAGGCAGATTTCATGTAAGTTTCATATCAGTACTTTCAAGCATCCTTTGCCATTTATGAATATAACCAAACTTAGGAATGCTTAGGAATGATTTGACCATACGACAGTTTGCATTTGATCAGACTGTCTAAGGGCAACTAAACAATCACAGAGTTTCAAAGTACATCTTTTCTAATAATGTGCTTTGTAACATTTTCCCCTTAGGGAGCTAAATGAAAATGGACAGTACTGAAAGTATGTGCAGATAACACTCAGAAATTCCTCTGATGTTCAGAGGGAATTTGTCACTATCCTGTTACAGGTGTCAATAACTATCCAAAAGGATAAGGGAAATTGGAAAAAAAAATGTCTTTAGGACATCCTTATGATGTAAAACGAGAGAAATCTAACTTCACAAATAAAATGATTATCTGATAGCTATGTGCAGTCGCTTATGAGAAAATGTAACTATTCCTTGGAAAACCTTCATGACTGTAGACCACACAGTGAGAAGGAAAGTTAATAAGTAGACATGCTGCATAATTTCCAAACTTATTGAGACATTGAAGCGTAAACTGGGATTTTCCCTATGAATCCCACTAATTATAATTTCTTAGGAACAATAAAAACGATGAGTACATTGCTTATTTTATTTTTAATTAAGTCAATACAGGTCTACTTTATTCTTAGCTCAATAAAACAAATCAATAATGCTTAAATCTCTTAATTTTGAAGAAGCAAAAGTATTAGGACAATTGACTGACCGGTGTGTCTTTTTGGTTTAAAATATTTAAAAATACTTAATTACAAAACAGATATAAGGCTCTATATCTAATATACTTAAGAAACCATACGTATAATTACCAATCAGCCAAGACTAGGTTGGCCAAGAAAAACATCTGCAATTCATGACAGAAAAACTCAGAGCTATCAAGAAAAACTCTAAACCAACTGCCAGTGTAATTACCAACAACGTCCAGAGTGCAAGGGTGAAGGTAAAAACATAGTTCCCCTAAAGACTATGGAATTACAAAGACTATACTGCACAAAGTAAACCTCTCATCATAAGAGAAGTCAGAATAAAATCTACACCCAAGGTGACCAACAGGATAAAAAAGTAGAAAGTCTTAGATGCGCCAAGTCAATCTCCATTGTTAAAATCCAATTAAGCATGAGTTTTACATAATAAAGAAAAAAAACTGAGTCAGAACACCAGTGCCAAATATGTCAAATATGTCTGTACTTATTGGACTCAGGTATGGGCATACAGTATAATTCACAAAACACATCAACAAAATACAGATGTGAAAGAAGAAAAAAAGAAAATGCAGAAATGATATTTCAAAGATGTCTATATATTTGTTAACCATAGACTAAAATTTAGTGTTTTAAGTTTGTTTTTACAGGAAGGAGACAATCTGAGTTCTTTGAAAACACATGAAAGAATACCCTGAATCCTAACATTGAGGTGTGTTAAAATCAAATGACTCACATTCTGAAGAATTTATGTTCTACACTGTATATCACTTTACATTCTTCACAAGTTAAATTAGTTCAAAGTCAACATTTTAGTCAACAACTCAGATGACTTTATCAGTTGACTGTGCAAGAAGCAATGGAAAGTTCTGACAGTCTCTAAAAAACCCTTTAATTTAAAATGGTAATTTAACAGGAAACAAAATAATGCTAGCGTAAAAAGGGAGTAGCCTGATTTGGAGGATAATTTTGGGTGATTGCAATTATCTGTAGATCTGCAATATTCTTCCACAGCCAAGAAAATATCACATTTTCACTACATTTGAAATTTAGGTGTTTAGACTTACTAAACAACAACATTTATTAATTTTTTAATTCATTAATAATGTCTTATTTACATACTGTATGAGTCTGGAAAAATATTTGTTTAATATCAACAATGCTGTCAGCAGCCTCTTTCAAACAAATTGCTTCTTGAAACCAAGATGTAACACATCTTATCACTTAAACTCAGGTGGGTTAAATTTTGTTTATCATGATCAAAACGATGCCGACTATTTAAAGTAATCTTCAAGGGTAGCCTTTAGAACGAGACTTTCGAGCTTTAACAAGCAACAGTCAAAACACTATACACAACAGAGGAGACACAAACAATACTATACCCTAACACAAAACAGACCTACTGCAAATAAGTCATATCCAAGGCTCACAACTGAACCATGGTTTGGAAATGTAATATTACTGGCATGTTGATCCTTTTTCCCTACCCACTTCCTTTAATTTTGAAAACCAAAAGATCCTCTGACAGTCTGACTTTTTTGCAGATCTTTCAATTGTTCCGGTTCCAGAACAATAACGAGTTCTCAGTTTTGCTTGTTCTTAAATTCTTGTCAGCCATTCTTGTGATGCTACAGATACAGTTTACTGGTTTTCTAAAAAATGTAACAGCATTCTTGCTATTTCAAAGTAAAATTAGTGAGACATTTTATATTTTCTATCAAATGAATGGTATGGATATATTTAGCGGCATAATATTCCCTGAACTTGATGTGATGAAATGAAGCACCTACAACCACCCATAGCTGTACAGTAATGAAGCCGAGCCGTACCTTAAATTGCAGAACAGAATGGGCCTAGTTATTGGCAACAGGAAAAAGACAATAATAACTGAGGGTAAATACTTCCTCTGGAGAGAGATGGGTTTCAAATGTTTGAATCTTTTCATTCTGAAGCCACGTGCAACGTACAGTATGTAGAGATGTCACAGAATGTAAAACGTAGAAGAAAACAAAAAAAAGCTTGTTAAATTAAAGCTCTTTTGTTCCTTTACATTATTATAATTCTTTATGCACTACAAAATGCTTAAGAAAGACTAAACACCAAAATCAGCATTGTATTAAACAACAAAACCAGCACCTCCCATGTTGACAGATCTAAAAATGACTCCTATAAGAATTTTGATGATTAACATTATAGAGTATACAGAATTGAAAACCTTATAACTTAACATCACACACACCTGAGGTTTAATAACCACATTTCCAAATTCCAGGGTCACAGTGGCCTGGAGCCTATCCCAGCAAGCCTAGCGCGCAAGGCAGGACACTCTGGACCGGACCCCCGTCCATCACAGGGCACACACAGACACAAAAACAAAAACTGTACACTCACACCATGGACAATTTTCCCTGAAGGCAATCCTCCCAGCATGTCTTTGGACTGTGAGAGGAAATCAGAAAATCTAGAGGAAACCTTTGCCAACACGGGGAGTACATACTAACTCCACACAGACAGCACCCCAGGGACTGGGTCCCAGCGCTGCGAGGCAGCTACGCTAACCACTGTGTTACTGTGCCGCCCCAAAACCTACATAGCACAAAGACATTTTTCTAGGTATGGAACAGTTTGAGCATTTGTTAAGAAAGAAGTCATTCCAACCTGTTTTATATTATAATTTCTATTATTTCGTTTCAGCGTAGTTCTCAGCAAGCCACAAACTTGCAGATCTGTATAGTGCTTTGTTTTGGGGATAGATCTCAACAACAATATGGCACAGAAGATAGGGAAGCTGACCTTTAGAGAGAGTAGGTGGAGTGCACTAACAAATGAAACTTTAAAAACCTCCCCAGCAAGAAATACCTGCATTATTATACAGAAGCATCACAAGAGATCAAATTTGCATGGTTTTCTGTTTGTAGAACACTGTATGTGGTGCAATGTTTTTCTTCCTCATAACACACAAAATTATGATATCAAATAATATGAATTTTAAAGAAGTATTGTTTTTTCCATCATGATTCTAGTAGTAGTTTGAATGCAGAATCTGAACCTATTGCATTCTCTCTACATAATTTACAGTTTATAGTTTTCCTGGCTAAAACATTCCTAAATGTCTCAGTTATACCTTTCAATTACAAAACTTTGCACACTGGTTGGATTCATTCCAACTTCAAAATAGTTAATTTTGTGCTTTAAAAGCATTTCAGTAAAAGCACATATTATAAAAAACGTCAAAGCTTTTTCTCAATATTCAATCTTTAACCATTTTCCTCTTCTGACGAAATACTGCACTACAGTGTATGTTGACACTGTAACAAGCTGGAGAAACAACTCCTCCTAGTGGCCAAAAACCCTTAGACACAAACCAGAACATTTGCGAAAGCGTTTAGCTTGATGTTTTTTTTTTCTGTGTAAAGATAAGGTGCTTACCATGACTTTCATCCATGTGTAAAATAAGCTTTAAAAATATCAGTGGTATAAATAAATCAAAAGTGTATGTTTTTCCATAAATCACAAAATCAGAACACTCTGCATGTGAGGCTTTCTTTTGTGGTTTTGACAGGCTTGGCTGTTTTTTTAAAGAACAATTTATTCCTAACATTCGGAAAACATAGACCTGCTGCCCCCGATGCTGGTGAATTTGCCTGTCCTCTCAAGTAAAACGAATTCAGATCCCAGTAAACAACAAATAAAAAACGAAACACATATAAATATAACAAAATAACAGAAAGGGTTATTACATACCTGGTCAAAATCAGCATTTCGAGGCAGAAAATAAACAATGTTATCTGAAATCAGTTTGGACAATCTGAAAATTTCAAAAGTAAAACTGTTAAGGAAAACACAATTTTACCATGCTTACACCGTGGATTGCAATGCAGCTTCTCGTTTCTAATGTTTCTTTCTTAATATATCGGTATACAAAATGCAGTTCCTCTTAGGGGATTGAGTAAGCTAAGAATAAATGTTTATATGAAATGTATAAAATGTACAGAATAATCACAAAACAAGGAAAAGAGTACATTTAAACTGACAAGTGTTGTTTGTTGTATACTACTGGGGCATAGTTAAGTTACTAGAGTGATATGTCCTTATTTCAAAAAGGTTTCTGGAATCTTTAATGTCACTGACAGTCAGAATTCACCATCTCAGCCGATCAACACTATTTCTAGCAGCACATAGGAAATCCACACTGAATGATGAAGCAGGCCCACTGCAGCAGCTGCTTTTTGTGACGTCTATCCACCTATCCTTTCTTTGTAGCGGACTGACAGATTAAAAGGTGATAATCCTCATGTACTTCCATGTATTTCCAAGAGCTGTAGCATTTGCAGTTCGATGTGTTAGTGTACAATTGGAATTATGTCCATTCAGTAGCTTTGTCACGATTAAGGTATTATATGACATTAGATGCAAAACATGGGTGACTATGAAATAAGTGTAATACATGCCAAACACTGCTGAATTTAGTCTTCAGAATTAGACTGTCAAAGAGTGCTTTCAAGTGAAAAAGCAATGAAACCAAGCAAAGCCCTGCTCTGAAAACAAAGGGGATTTTCATTGTTTCTTTTCATAATGAGTTTTTCCACTTTTTTATGTGTGTCTCTTTTAAAAAAGGAACCTTTGTAATAACTATGATTTTTTATTTTTTATGCATACTCTGCTTTAAAAAATAGAGCAAACTTTGCATTGCCAATTCTTAATGTGCCAGATGAATTTCCATTTGTCGTAAACTACTAGAATGCTGGTTACATCGCTCTGAAGTAATTGTAATACATACTGACAGCTAGAGGAATGCAGTACGGGAAATGGAGAACAAGAACAAGAGACTGCAGAACAAGAAAAATGACTGAGATTATCTGATGCCGTTGAGCAAATTGTGTTGCTAAGAAACAAATGCAGCAAAAAACATAAAAGAACACTGTGTACAAAGAACAGGATTTAAAAAAAAAATCAATGGTGACAATGTTTAAAACCGGGCAAAACAATAGTACTGAAAATCCACTGGTAAAGGCATTTAAGCCTTCAGCTCCCTCTCTCAGACTTTTTGTATTTTAACATAACCAAAAGAAGCTTTCATATAGCAGATGCAGCCTACCTTTTCAGAAATAGAACCTGTTAAGGGAAGTTTAGTTTTGTTAAAAGAATGGACTTTATCTTAATAAAAGGATATCCATCTGGAGACATCATGGTCTTAATATCAAAAACATCAGCTGTCAGGTAGTCTGGGCCCCCCCATGGGGGACTGAGGAACACAACATCCGCTTTTATGTCCACAGCCAGCTCCATGAAGTCCCCCTGGATGAACTCAATCTGTTGTGCTACCCCATACACCTTTGCGTTGTTCCGAGCCAGGGCTATCCGAACAGGATCGATGTCAACGGCAATAACTGTAAAACATTCAAATCAAGCCGGTGTGCATCATTAAAGACGAAGAGTTCATACCTCTCATATACTGGTCTGACTTGTTAATGCCTTAAAACAATAAGCATTTCTGCTTTCTTAAAATCCTAAAACTGGATAAGATGCATTTTTACTTAGGGCTTACAAAGGTTCTGTCCAACAATCACGAGATTGTAAATGTAACTGTTAATGACAGTACTGCGTTTCCTAAGATTTCAAATATGTTATAGATGGTATACATGCTGATTAATTCATATACCTGAACCTTTTCATATACCCTTTTACACTCCATTTGCCTTGAGTGGACAGCAACAAAAAGAAAAAAGAAACTAAGAAGTTGCCATGGGGTATAGTTTTATAGATGATAAAAAAAAAACAGCATGCTGGGTTACAATGAAAAAGCACAGAAAAACAATTGAGGCAATAAAAATAAAATTCAACATCTGGATCTGAAAAGGAATAGACATTTCACGTCATACTCCCAGGACCCAATAAATAACACAAGAATACACAGTTCCTAAAAACTGGCATTATGATAGAAAAATGTTTCTGAATGACAGAAGAAATTCAGCTTATATACAGTATAGCCTACATCAATGCCTGTGTAAATAACCATGATAACACTGCAGTATTAGGTTATATCAATGCAAATTCTTTACACACACGTGAGTCCACAAGTTGCTGGAGACAGCAGAAGGCATGTAATGCATTATTTTACATTACGCTGCACAATGAAGAACTAAATTTAAAGACAATTACATTCTATCCTAATGTGTGATGTCCAAGTAGCTATCGCAAAACTGAGTCCCTGCTAGCACTTTGACTGTCATTTCAAATCGGGTCATAACAGAATGAAAAACAACAGAACGTCTTGATTAAAAAGTACAACACTCTCTGTGATTGTACAAATATATTAAAATGATGTATTTTGATACAAGAATATAACATCTCATTTTGATAAAGGATTTTCATTAACAATTCCTGAAGAACAGGTGCTAAATTTCTGCACTGTGTCTCTTTTATAATTCCGGACATGGTATAAATCTTCAAAAAAAATATTTTCATCCACCCTTGAATGTACAGTGCTGCCGAAATATCACATAAAAGTACCTCTTTTTCCCGTCAAAGCAAACTGGATAGCATTGCCTCCTACACCGCAGAAAGCATCTACAATGACATCGGAGTGGAAGCTGTTTTGGACTCGCAGAGCAATGTGCTTCGCAATCTTCTCAGGAGTGACAGAAAACCAGCCCTCTGAGGAAGAGAAGGGGAAAAAGCTACACTTAGAAAAATGATCAATTGCCTTTCAGTGAAGCCTCTTTTATAGACAACTTCTCACACAACGCTACAAGCCAAACATAAATGGGAAGATTTATTTTGTTCAAAGACGTATAAATCATTATTGGTATGGTGGAGCTCCCAAAATGGCAGAACACCAAAATTAAATATTTTATTCTAAAATAATTATAGCTGCCTTGAATACAAGGTTTAGAATCTGCAGATGCTTGTTTCACCTTCATACAAATATTTTGATTTTGTGGTATCACTGACATGTTCTCTAGCCTTAAACATCAGTAGTTTGAACTTGAACACGTCACAACTTAACCATAGATGTTTAGTCAAAATCATAAAATAATGACAAACCTGGGAACAATATTTCACAACAGGAGTACTGTCTGCTGATGATTCATATGGAGAAGGAGTTACTCAAATCTAAAATATAATCTATTACTTCTAGGAAATAGTTCCTATGACCTTTAGGTTCTTATAGAACCATCACTATTTTAACAATAAATGTATTTCCTGTGATAAGCTCAACAGCAACGTAACAGTAACGCTGACATTGTTCTAAAAGCTGTAGCAATCCACAAAAGATAATCTTCTTATAAATGTATGGATTGTTAAAGATTAAAGAATCATTTCGAAGAATAAGGGAAAGGCTTTAGGATATTTTAATTGTCAGAAAAAAACCCTATCTGCACAGAACTACTGTCGACTATGTAACTAAGCAACAGTCACATCTTATTTTACTACCACGAAAAGGGGCAGACGCATTTTATAATTCATTATTTCCCTTGCTTATCAACTAATGGAAAAGGGGCGTAGGTGGCGAGGCAAAGATCCCGATAGTGATAGTGAATAACCATTTATCATACATTTTAGTGATTAGGAGAAAGGGGAAGAAAGACACAGCTACACATTATGCAACACTGTTGTGCTCTGTGCTGCTGGAATGTGGTCACGTAAGATGAGCCACAGAAAGGGCAGAAGGTGAGGTCCCAGGGCCCGATAACTGTAGCGTAGTATAGTCAGGTTGCCATCAATCACTGCCAGTGGATTTCTGTAGCGACTCAACACTCTGCCCAAAGCAGCACACTTGAATCTCCCCATCTACTGGTCTGTTGCACACAACAATTAGTGCATCATTGAGCATGTATGTGTCACTATTAGAGTGATGTGTTTCTGCTGATACTCATATATCAAAGCATGTATCCGATCTTTCACTCAAATAACTGTATGTGTCAACACTTAAAACACAGAACGTCACTATACAGAAGATTTTTTTTTATTTATTGGCTCTTACAAAGTACCTCCAAATGGGATTTTCTACCAGTAAATTGAGGTGTGCGCAAATACTGAGACTTACAAGGGACAAAATTCCTAAGAAACTGATCTCATTTTTATTTACCAGCGAGACCTGTACCATCTGCTTTTATTTTCTTCACGCCATTTCCATTTTCTTGCCTCTTATATTTGGACTTTCCTTTGAGAGCACAACACCTGCCAGCTCATCCCAGGGGAGGTACTTCCTTCTCTCCAGCTCGTTTTAATCATTCTTTGTTCGGTAAACATAAATCTTGAGCATTTATGTTTTGATTAAAATATTTACTTCCCAAAAATGTGTATACAGTATATCATTGGTGATTCATCAATACTGGATATCATTGGTAGGAGTGAATACTTTTGGAAGGTACTGAACATACATCACATGAAAGTTGATGGCAGATGTGGTTTGTGTTTTGCCTGTTTTTAAATTATGCTATTGTAGTTTTCTAATTTTGTGATCTGACTCTTTCACCGTGATTACACTCACCTTTTGCTTTTATTTGTCACTGCTCCCATCTTCTTTTATGACCATTCAAATAAAGTATTTAGATCTAAAATTATATGTATTCATCAGTTTCCTTAAGTTTACAGTATGTACTGCATAGGTACAGCATATAATTGCAGGGTCAAGAGCTACAAATGAGTTTTTGAGAGATTTTGTCTTTTGTTACTTGGAAAATGTAACTCCTGCCACGCGTGATTCCCAAATAGACAGTCTTAGGGGGTACATAAATCAAGGGTTACTCCACAAAACTACTAGATCTAAACAATACCTCATAATTCCTTTTTTTATTTTATGTTTTTATATGCGACTTTTCTAAAATTCTGTGTCTCCCCCTTTAATGGCTGGACACCGGCCAAGAAACGTTGGTTTATGGCAGCAGAGCAAAAAAAGGAAAGAGATGCGTGACTGAAAGAAGGGTGTGAAGGAGCAGATACAGAGGGGGTAGTGAGGGCAGAACAAGCTGAAAGAGGCCGGGGTGGGGCGTGAGCAGGGGGGTAAGAGGGTGACTACAGAGGTCTGAGACTTAGGAGCAGGAGAAGTCCGGAAGGCTGTTGGATGAGACAGATGTAGGGGGAAGAGGGATGTGAGAGGAAGAGAAAAGGGAGAAGAGTTTACAAGGACTGTTGGCAGAAGACGGGATGATAGATTGAAAATCGCTTGACAGAGCTGAGTGCTGAAGCAAGCATTAAAGATACCTACAACAGAACGTTTGTAATACGGGAGGCTTATGAATCACTACTGAACAACATGGAGAATATAATAAAAAACACACTTTATGGATGACACCCTTCTGAGTCCTCATGGAACCTCATGTTTTAGACAGGCTGGCAAAGAGATATTTCTCTTTAAAAAAAAAACCTGACAAACATTTTTAACTTGGAAAATGACAACTTGTGAAGGCACACAAATGATTTACTCTTCAGAGTCCAGTGACATGAATTATGTTGCGACTATCATTTTACTGTTGTCAGCACATCTTCCAGGAGATTCTCTCAACTCAAAATCACTGTGCATACACAGAAAGCTTCAACAGGACACATCATTTTTCATTTTCGATCTTTTGACATCAACATGATGGTAGTTAACCTCCTTCATATATTTATAAACACACACACACATATATATATATAATTCTTACACTCATTGACAAGTGGGTTTAACTGAATTGACAAACTTGACCAGATTCCAAAAAAGGATATAACAGTTATTTTGTGGTAAACTGATAGAATGGAATTCCTAAATGTGTTTTGGATGTGGTTACAGCTGCAGTTGCAATTGACAATTGGCAAAAAAACAAAAATGGAAGACCAAAACTGGTCTATTTCCAGAACTTCATGAACAGATCTTCTCAAGTGATAATTTCGTCGGAAATACAGTAGCTCCGTCTCATTATTTTTGGTCACACTCACTTCCTTTCCTTTAAGGTACATTATATTCTCTCTGAAGTCTACGTTTTTCTTAGCGTGAAAGAAAAAGGTTCTTAAAAAAGATTCAACAAATTTGATCATTTGAAATCTCGTTCCCGCTGCTCTTAAAGAACAACGACTCAAACAAAAACCTAAATACTACAAACAAAATTAACATGATTGAAATCTGTTTCTATGTTTTCTTTTGTTTCTGTGTTTGATACCCTTCACGCTGTGTGCTAAGTCATCAGTTGACTCAGACGATGACCACTTACCATAATCGAGCTTGATGCCCTTGTCGAACCTCGAGAAAAGTCGGTATCTCTGCGCCCAGTATTTTGCCAGTTCAGGCTTGGCTGCTATTTCAGGTGGCACTTTGTGGGCCTTCTTTTTTCTCCTCTTCTTCTCTTTTCTGGAAACCTTTGAACTTTCCGCTGGAAGGTAAAAGACTACCATTAATCTTTCTGTGCTAAATTCATATTTCCCATCTACCAACTATATATCCAACAACCTACATATTCATTTCTCTTGTAGTTATCATGCTCAGCATTTGCACAGTAAAATCACGTTTCAAAGGGTGCTTTACTAAATAGTGTATTTAAAAAAAACACGTATTTTGTGTGAAATACGTGTAGTCGTAGTTTTTCCCAAAAATACTCAGAAATATTTACATGTAAAATTGGAATGCAGGATGTCAACTCCAATGCAAAACTCATAACTTTCTTCCAAGGTAATTCTTAAATAACAGAATATAATATGCATCACTCTCTTTTGTATTTGTTCAGCATTTTTCCATAAATCTAATAGAATGTCTTTAAACTGGGAGCCATGTAAACACAGGGAGAACGTACTTATACACTATCAATATAATACCGAAATGGAACAATCTTTTATGTTAATACATATAATAAAAGAAAACTGGAACCAGATCTACGTGCTTATCAGACAATCCATATTCTGAGCAGTGTTCTCTTGATTCTGTCACTCTCTCTCCCTCCTCATATCATATTCAACATACTCTTGCCTTAGTCTTTTAGTACATTTACAGCCACCCCCTGCCAACAACATATTTCTTCCTGACTCTGGTCCACACCCCTTGTCTCCTGACTGGGCGTTATTTACTCATGTTCTCACCAACTGAGTCTTTATCAGCTTCAGGCAGAAGATAGGCTGGTATTTCCAGCGACGACGGCTCTCTCTCGAATCTGGCCACTTCAGTCTTTGCGCTGGTCTCTTCTTCAGACTCGCTGCTTCCAGCCAGCTCTACCTCGAGAGACCTTTCCGCCTCATCACTCCCCTGAACCTCTTTTAAAAATTTCTTAACCTGAAAAGTCAACATTATAAAAAGAACAATGACATTTTCTTGCAATACACACATGTAAATACTTATGCAACTGAAGAATATTTTATTTTGTACGGTTCCCCCACCCGAAAATAATTCCTAAAACACTGTCTATTCAAATCACACACAAAGAAAAATAACAATGCATAAATATGTTACAACCAGGGATACTCTGTAATATGTTGTGACTTTGTATATACCGAAACCCTATAGATACCAAGAAGCCTTATAAGCACAATTCTCTGAGAATAATAATGGCTTGATTACACAAAATCCATGACAAATATATTGCTTGGTTAATCACAAGAATAAAAGACGCAGAGGGAACACCCATAGTCCATGCTGGTATGGGTTGGATGTGAAGTAAGCAATGTCATGAGGCCATACCATGATCACCAATGCCTAGTAATGCCTTATATCAAGAGGTATCAAACCAAAGTTTTCATATGTCCGTGGGCAGGTTTCCAATGATACTGAAAGACTTGCAAAAACTCTGAGATGTTTTGTGGCTGAGGATATTGCCGACGATCACGCTGACTGTAACCTGTTACACAGATGTTCAGTTGAGTTAGTAATAGGTGACTATAAAGTCCATGAAAGCTTGGGTATTAACAAAAAAAAGGCCAGCATAACCCTGGATCTGCCAAAACGAGCAGTCTGTGTGTGCATGGTTCTATTAACAGTGCAAAGAAGAATGGCCCCCAAGATGTTGTCTATATAGGCAGTGAAAATACCCAGTGGAACAACAAGTTCTGATTAGAATAATTTACTTAACTGCTATTTAAGTTCATATTTACAATGTTACACAGGCCAAGACTTTAAGATGATGTGCAATTAAACCAGCATTCTGAACACCATGTGCCTAGCTCCTTACCACATTTTGTCCAGATGAATGACAGAACTCACTTACGTATTGTTGTATAGGACTGTCATGTGCACAACAGACATACATCCTGACATCCTTGCATTGAATGACTGAAATTCACGCCCAATAGCATTCATTGCACACCTTACAAAAATTTTAGAAACAGAGGCAGAGATCTTTTTCCACCAACAAAAACATTGTCTTAGCTTCCACTTTTAATTCAGATTGGTGACAAATGACATGAGAATTTTTAGCATGATTTACCTTATCTACCTCATTGTAGCCAAAATGAATCATGAACCAAACTATTCTGCTCAGTTTGTTTAGTGCTTCCATCTTTTACACCAAATTGGTAATATCAAAGTCTGCTTCTTTTCAAACTTAAAATCTGCAGAAACATTGGCTGTTTTTTTTCTTAGAAACCATTCATTCTCCTGCTGAGAATCCACTTTGCAACGTTTGTAACTACCTACAGGAAGATCAGTATCACAGTGGTACTGTCTGCCTTTTTGTTTCTTGACGGCTAAGGTAAGAAAAAAAAATCTTCAATATCTTCAAAATCAAATGGTTTTTCTCCGTCAGAAGCTGAATTTCAGTCACTGCACAAAACTTTTACTGAGTAAAAGCATTTTTACAAGCTGTGATGAAAGCTAAAGAACACCGGTTAGACTGTATTATAAACTGAGGTTCAGGTTAAATGACAAATTCTTGATTACAAATTCGCACTTAATGATGACTGAATGTCTTACCTTTTATGGTAAGGACTGGCTGGAGAAAATAAATTAAAGAACAAACACCACCAAATGACACGTTTACCAGCTCACAAGATGCTGTTACTCACATTTGTGTGAAATATACTGAAAATCAAAAGATTTAATGGTTTAATGTTAGTTCACGAGTATATTTCTTTCGGTCATTCACCAAGTCTATAGGGTGTTGACATCTTTATACAAATGCCTGTGGTAACTGTCTCGTTTTGGTGGGATTCAAGTCTGAAGGTCCCATATGGTAGCATACCTGCTGCTGTCAACATACTCCTAATATCAAAGATATGTGGACTGCATGGTAAAGATACAAAGCTGAAAGTCATCTTATTCTTATAATAAAATGTATCATTTTAACCTATGAGCCTAAAGAAATACATTATTGCCTATGTATTAAATGTGTTTGACAATGCTCCTTTAACAACACAGATCAATCATGAAATGAAGTGCACACAAAATCCTGCAAAATAAATCTCTATATTCTAATGAACACTTGACAGCTGGTTTCAGTAACAGACAGCTAATGCAGTCTAACACATTCATGCCAGGAAAGCTCCACTGCTGGAGAGAGACAAGAAGCACAGTTTCTAGACAAGACCCCCTGTGGGGACAGGAGGGCAGTGATTTAAGATGCTAAATTTCCTTTTACCTGACAGAAATCACAGGAGAGTTCCAGAGACTACTGGAGCATGCACACTTAGAAAACGCAATGTTTCAGAAGAACTTAAAAACAAGTCGGTTAAATTAAAGTATCCTTTATAAAATGATGATCTTGTTGATCATAGTGGTCTACAAAGCCTTTTCAAATCTTAACACATTTCATCAAAATGTGTATATAGGCTTATGCGAAGGTTAAACAATCTGTTTTGAAAGCAAACAGAACAGTGTATAGATGTTTCTGATATTCCACCCCAGTAACCCCCACATAATTGTCACGATTGCTGCAGACAGCTTTGAAAACATACACCAACAGATTACAGAACTCCATGTGAAAATCTACGAGAATCTAGCTGTCTGACTGGACAGCCGTTTGAACCAGCCTGTGAGACAGTAGTTGAACTTATGGTACAGCACTGTCTGTCAGTTATGACAACTTCAAAGATGGAGGATAAAATACAATGGGCGAGTATTTGAAACTTACCACCGCTGTAAAAACAGTCTGGAAACACAACCGTCAAAGTCAATATCTGAACAATCGAGACCTGTTCTACAAACTTTAAAGGAAAGGTAGAAAACAAGACCAAAGCTAACCATCTCTAACCTCACCATGTAAAATCAGTTACTGCTGACTTTAACCCCACGCAAAATCTCATATCAAAGGGAAACAAGCAACAGCAACATTTAGAGCAGGCGGAAAAGTGAATATGTTCTTCCACAACTGAATTAAGGGGGAACTTTGGGAAGGCCAGAGCCAGGACATACAGTACGGTTTTGGACTAGCCTGTGTCAAGGGATCTTCAACGGCCAAGAAGTCAAGACCTCAACTTAAAATGTCTCATCAGAAGGATGGCACTTCCTACAGCACAGTTCCCCGTCTCCACACTGTGGCACTTGATTGGCCATTCAGGTCTAAAGTTCATAGCACCTCCTACTGCCCCATAAGGATTACAACTCCAGCACACATTGAATGTTTCCACTGCAAAGAAATAAGTAGCCTGTGGCATACACAAAATTCCATTATGAAGCAGATTTGTAATTTCAAACTGGCACCTTAACTTATGTTTTTTATTTAATAAAGGCCTCAGCTGTATTTCCGTTACGTTTTTTACTATAAAGGTGGCAACCTAAGTATAGAAAGAAGAAATGCTGAGTGAGAGGTTTTGTTTTTTAGTCAGTAATAGCACAAAATCTGACCCACAGAAATAAAAGCTTACTTAGCTTTCAATCCATTCACTCCAAAATGCTGCCTTTAGACACACTTTTAACATAAAGAAGAAGCTCTTGGCAAATGTCAGCAAAATGTTTTGTGAACATAGTTAACAGTATAACCACCAGTTTTAAAATCTACTGCGTCTGAAAATAACATTCCCCAGTATTAGGTTAGATTTCTCTCTTGCATAAATTATCACAAGATGCTGCATTAACCAGGTGGAAATGGATTAATCATCTGTTTATCTGTTTAAAATCTACAAAGCCTTAGAAACAGTATTTAGACCCTTGTAAAATGTTTCATGTTTATTGCTTTAAAGCTTGCTGTCATGATACTGAAGTAGCATTTGTTTCATACACACCTACTCCACTCATTCAAAGCAAAAAAAAAAAATTAAGCAAAAGAAAAGAAAAAAGAAAAAAAATAATAAAAAGAAAAGAAAAAAGGAAAAAGCAATAATGGCAAAGGTATCAAAACTAATGCCGGAAACTAATTTGGAAAAAAACCCAAGTTAATTAAGCAAAAAAAAATAACCTTAATGAGCAATTAATACACAATTAGCTGAATCTGAATCTGTGTACACAATTTCACATGAATTCAGAACACATACACCTATCTGTGTAAGGTTCCTCATTCAGGTAGTAATGTCTAAAGCAAAGCATTAAGTTTTGAAACGGAGCACTGAGTGTGAAATGAATGGCCTGTTAGTGGAACTGCCTCATTAACTGAATACTGTATGAGTCTGAATGAATGCCTGGGGCATCCGGCTCCATTCATGGTAAAAAGGAGCCTCTTCATTGCCAAATATGCAATGGCAGTGAATAATGCTCTGGATGACGTCCAGGTAATCCCAACAGCATACGACCAGTTCCCCACTAAGGGAGAAGCCTGGCTAAGGAAATGCTGGGATACACAGACACTTCAGGATCGCAATGACATGAACAGGTGTTCTCTGTTTTGGCAGAAAATGTGCAGAGCCTAATGATGTCAGAAAAACAGTCACATAGTCTCTGCTATCACACCAGAGAGGCCATCTTCTCAATTAAAACGTCCTCTCTGAATAGTCATACAGCAGCAGCAAGCAAGGGTTTAACTGAGAGGCTGTTGTCTTCAAGTGTGGTAATTCAAGGTGGACACCAACAAGGGAGGTCTCTTAGCAGAGCTTGTTGCAGTCCAACGGTGTCAAAAGATTACATCTTGTAGCCTCGGATGCCTCAGTTCTCTGCTTTCGTGTACAGGATCTCCCTAAGATGTGTAAGGGTTGACTTCTACACTACTGTGCTGAATTATATCAATTAGATTTATTCCCACAGAGAGACACCTTCTTCTACGTTCTCTTCATATTTAGAGAAACCTATCTGGAACCAGCTACTTTCTCTGTAACAGTTGTGTGCAAATGCCTGACTTTAACCCTTGTACACTTATACCTTTCCTCGCCTCCAGTGGCCAAGCTGACAAAGACACCTCAGAGAGACAGCTGCTCCATTACACTAATAAGTATAGCGCTATCTACAGTGCACAATGAGTAACTATTTTGCACTTTATTCTCCATTTGGGTGTTGACAGCATGCAGATTAGACAAGTTAGCACAAATGTGCAGTGTTACAGAAAGACAGGTTTCTGTTAAAAAGACCAAAATGACAATTCAGTGTTAATCGTGATTTTAATCCTTCTTCTAGCCTCGTAGAACCCCTATCAACCTTGAACCCAATTAAATGTTTGAGAATAATTAAATCATTTTTTGTTTTTCTTTGGGGACTTTCAGAAATTAAAATACTACTCAGAAAATAAGACACCGAGTGGCACTGTGTGTTAAATATGTCTCACAACAGATTCACCTAACTAAAATTAGCAGACACTAAAACAGGATAGTTTCAGTCAGGCAGAGAATTTACACTTCCCGCTGTACCCACCTGCTTGGTCGCAACCAAATCATTCCAAAAACACAAAAGAAAGAAGATTGCTTACTTTATCACATGTTTTGCTCATCTTAGGTGCCAGAGCTTCTCCTTCTTCTGTAAAGAAGATATGCTTATTTTTACTGCAGGCATGCCTATGTCTGCCCAGGAGTTTTGATTTCAGTTCAGAATCCCTTTCACGCAGGCGGGCTTTGTAAGATTTAATGTGCAGAGTGCTTCTAGATCCAGGACAAAAAAAAGATGTACTTTTAGTCTGGTAGAAATATAAAATGATAAAACATCCACATATATGAAAATAACCTCATATAGTTAAAAAGATTATACCAAGAAAATAACCAGAGAGCAAACCAATGTATAGGCCTACTTACTTAAAAACAACCAATAAGACTTTTTGTATGTCAGCACCAGGCATTTCTTAGAGAAAATAGTGCATGAAAATCCCATTAGACCTGCCTGGATGTTATCGGCATATCTCAGCAGAGGCAGTCATGCTGTGAAAATGATACTTGTGAGTAGGTGCTGTAGATGCTGTAGAGTAGATCACAAACTGCCAGAAGCATTTTCAGGTATTCACATGAGGTATTGATGGTTAACATGTTTTTTTTACAATATAACAATTTTTGGTGCAGTCTTTTCATTTTTGTTAAAAATGCTTCACGCCACTCAGGACAACTGGACACGTAGGAAACATGCAAGTTATTTTTGGGATTGGTGATGAAAATAATGTAAATTATTGATTAAAAAAATAAACAATACTGACAGTTCAGTTATCTCTTATCTCTCTCAATTCTGACAGTTCTACACCTTGCATTATAACACAAATAACCACAATGATACCAAATAGTGTCATATTAGAAGAGCGCTTAAAAATATATAAATCACATTAAAAAGTCAACACAGAGAATTTTTTTGCAGTATCAACTGTATCAAGATACAAAAGCTACGGGATATTAAGCAGGAGAGTATGAAATGAAAGAAAATACTATTGTTCATTAACCGTTTTCAAAATGTACTACAAAACGTTTAAGCAGCAGTTCTTAGTGTAAAGAAAACTAATGGTCCTGAAGAAAAGGTTACTGAAAAGTACAATATCTGCATGTTCAGTTTTCAGAACTGGTAGAGTGGATAAAAGAGTTCTGTATTGAAAATAGTCATCTACAGCTGTAAATACACCACAAACAAAAAGAGCTACTTTTGAGGGGAACTGACAAATGCCCAAATTCTGCAAATCAGCAACACATCTTTAGCATCATTTTAATGCTTTCAGATATCACAAAGCAGCACCACTTAGTTTCTGTTCTACGGTGCACAACTACCGTTAACATCATGGTGTATAAAGAAAGTTCCGAAAAGTCTGTACTTTTAACACCATCATTCACCAAAGACAGTTAAAAAAAATCTTAAAGAAAATGTAATGCTTTTAAAAATAAAGAGGCTAATTTAAAACTAAATGTCTGCCTCAACACAGAACAAAACAACATTTCACATGTTGCCCATCCTTACAATTCAGCTCAATAGCAAAAGCAGACAACAGTGTGTTCTTATTTACATACCTATCTTTTTCCTTCCTTAAAATTTGCATAGCATACCAGGCACCTAGCACACCAAGGGATCCTATTAGATGGTTAGCCAAGGATATCCTGGCTGACACCTGTGCACCACCTTCTGGAGAATCACTGTCACAGCAGACTAATTAAGCAGGGTTCAGCCTGCTCCAAACAACCACCTTTAATTTGCTGAGCCACTACAATTCCCTTCATCAACTTGCTTTACAAATGGAATTTACTGAAACATATGTATAAATGCTAGTACCTTATAGTTTTGGGTTAAATAACTCTGACTACAAATATGTTGACAAATATTAATTCACTAAAAGCTCCCTCCCATCCAAAAAATAAAACCAAAACGAAAGAAATTTTAATTACTACTTTAAAATTAAAAAAGTTTAATTACTACTCCTTAATTACTAAATCTCCTTTTATCCGATTCGCAAAAATAATGGATCCCACTTTCGGAAATCTGAATGACAGCCGCTAGATATGAATCCTCCCTCCCCGTAACTGTAAATCTTTCAAAGATGTACTTAGTGTCAGTTTGCACAAAACCAAAATGTTTTTGCTGCACTGTTAACCACCAATGTGTGAAAAACAACGGCCTGAACTTTCAACAGGATTATAAAGAATGCAACAGAAGTGGTTTCACAGAGTTTTGTAATAATTGGAATACACAGAAAAGAATACCCATCCTTACTTTTCTTTTCTGCCACACTTCAAACCCAGCGTTTCACAGGCTTCTTTTAAAGACAACGCAGGGTTTTCTTCAGGATCCAGTTCATGGCTGCAGGAAGAGTAATAATAAATCACACACATTAGGGCTGTACTGAATACATCTATCCAGATGGATTCCTTCAAGCTGTTTTCATGATTGACACACTGCAATTTAAAGAGGGTTTTGCTTTTTTTTAGAACCCAATTATGCGCTGGGGGGCTCTGTCACCTCCTGGCTTGCTAATTACTAAAAGTAACATTGAATATTTAAATTGTGCAATGATAACCAGATGTGTTGCATCTCAGTCTGGTGCTACATTAAGGTTTGAAAATCAAGATGAACATAATAGCCATGAATAAAAACTGTGAGAGGGGGAGGTCTTTACTAATCAAATGTTTTAAGTAGAATCATTCTCATCACTGGGAGAATGGTGCAGTATTTAACATGTAAAGTAAATGTAACAAAAAGTGCCAGTTGCTCTATTCTGCTACTGATATTACAAAAAATAATTTAAAAAGTCCCCTAAGTCTCCTTTTACAGATTCTACGATCTGTAACATTTTGCCTTACATAAAATCATCTAAAAGAAAAACAAACTTTAAGATACAACTTGAAATCTTTCTTTCTTCTTGATTAATAGCAGGTCATATCATTATTATAACACATTAAAATGCCATTAAGACAAAAATAAGCAAAAACAAAATCCAAACAAATTTGCATTCAAGTGCAACACTCCTTCAAGGTAACATGCACCTTACTTCAGGACAGGGCAGCACTGCGAAGAAAAAGTCAACTGACCTCTTAAAAAAAAGCCTGGAGTGCTAAGAATAGACTATTCTTCTTAGAGAAGATTGTTCAATTTATCACTTCCGAAAGCCCATAAATTTGTCAAGCATAGAGCTGCTGAACCATGATGCTTTTATGAGCTTTAGAATTCCAGCATAGAACTCTGACATTAGACATCTTAACACAATTTAGACTTGCATCAGATCAGAGAGATGAGTTAGATAATTATGCACTTCTACAAATCATGTTCTTCTATTACAGATTCTGTCTACTTAACTTATAACAGACAACATTTTCAGTCCTGTACAATCAGAAAACAAACTGCTTTACAATCCTAATTTACAATTCCACTACCTGAGCAAGAGATGTTCTTCTTTCACTTAGAAGTATGGATTTAGTGCATTATTATTGTTGGTTATTGTTGGCTTTTAATTGAATCTATAAAATCTTTGGGGAAAAAAAGATGATGTGACTGAGATTAAGTGAACTTACAACACTAAAGAATGCCGTGCACATACATACTTTGTACAGTGAATATGTTTAGTCACATTTTGAAGACAACTATGACACAAACCCATTTCTGTACATTTTCCACAAAGTAGGGAGGACAAGGAAGCATTAAATTTCTGGTTCATTGCAAGCACAATTGAATCCACATAGAATATAAATGTGACTTCTATTTTAAGAAGCTTTGAAATATTTTAAAAGTGCAAAATAATTAGAAAAAGGCAAATCATAACAATGTCCCAGTGCTTCTGAGAAGAGCACAGCTCAAAATCTAAGGCGACATCTAAATCCCCACGGCTTTGTTTGCAGGAAAAAAAATGTTAATTTCACTATAAATAATATTTTATTTCCTTAAATTACAATGCCAATAACAGAAAATACCCTTTTTAAGTACTTAAAAAAGCATACATACAAACAAATGTTTTGTCATGAAATGTGTCCGATCTGCCTGTATGCAAATTAAATCATCTTGGCTCAGCACAATAATGCCCACAAGAAAACAACATACACATTCCTCCAAAATATGCACGTTTAGGCTATTTGATACTTTTTACATCACAACCTAGGAACACCAGAAGCAAAACCTGGGACCTGAATGTAGGCCTTAGGCACATCAAGCCAACTGAGATCTGCTGGGTTATGTTTGGCCACTTTAATCTGTTTTAAGAGACTTTTTCTGTCTGAGAACAAAATCCACTTCAGTATTTCTCTTAATCTGGGGTACATAGTGCAACATACTACAGTATGAGGTGCTGTAGAACATTGGGAACTCTTTTTATCTGTAGTACTTGCCTCCTTTTTATCTTGACTTGTCTTTGATCCGGTGGGTCATCATCGTCGTTCTCTTCATCCTTTCGAGAACTTTCCCCCACTGAACCACTCTTGTTCTCTGGCTCACTCTGTCTTGACTCTAGTACAAACATCAAGCGGAGATTTCAGGATGATTAAACCATGGGAATGGAAGGTCGTGAACATGCTTTATCACCAACAGATCCTTTGCAGGTAAAAACGACTTTTGCAGACAGCACTTGCTTGTAATGTCGGGTCCCTCTCCTTCCCAGAATTGTGTTCACTTGAAATGAGGAATTTTCAATAAACAATTTAAAATACATAAAACCAAACCAGAAAACCACAAGCAAATCCCTACCTACTTAAACCGGTTGCATGAAATTCACTCACACAAAGGGAAAACTAAAAGCACCCTTGCAAATGGGAATTGTATAGGAGTTCAAACAGTTTTTAAACAGCAAGTATAAAGTGTTAACAGCTTTGTATCCACAATGAGGAAAATAAATGGTGGTTAGGTAGCCAACCTGATACCTGGAAGTACGCTATTTTCACATACAGTATGTTCATCATCCTGTTGGTATTACTGTTACACCTATAAGAGTTATCTGGCCTAACAGTTTTTGTACTAGAGAAGCTATCGGAATAGGATGTGTTTTGTTAAGCCTTTGGCTGCTTGGTAAGGGCATTAAAAGCATAGCTGCAACACCCAAGGTGCAGTACTGAAGCAGGCCATGGTACAACGAAGCTAGCCAAGCTTCAGGTAGTGAAATGCTTCTAAGACACTGGGAATATTAATTTTGCCCGCAAAATGGCAGTCAGACAATCACTGTAATACCTGAAGAAGGCTCCACGGCCAAAACGCTGTGTTCTCTTTCTTCTTTTTTTCAGCATGGAATAAACCTATTACTTGTTCCTTTGCAGCCTACGCATGCTGATGCAGCTACCCACCTGAACTACTACTGTAATATACTGATGACAATGGAAATTCAATTTCACCATATCCTGTGTTGTCAGTCCTAGGTTTGGAGGTGATTAGCCATACAGAACTGGAACAGGAACATTTTGAAATAGAGACTGGCAGACATTCCAGGCAGCTGATGATCTGCCATGGTTGGGCAAATGATAATAGAATCATGCAAGATGCATGTCAGAAGTAGCTTTGCCTGCTCATAACATCTACTAAGTTGCAATTCAATTGGTGTTTCTTAAGCCAAAGGCATCTTGAACCAGAATAAAATGGCAACCCCACAACCACCATGTGGAAGACCACCAGATCGTCCAGATGCCAATGTTATACTCACCAGACCTGTTGTAAGTTAAAAACTAATGCAACAAAGAAAAAAACTGTTTCAGCCTGCTAAAGAGTTAACTCTGTTAACAGAGTTGGTAGAGATTCACCCAAAATAAAAAGACTTGTGTCTGTAATTGCTGCCAAAGGTGGTTCCACCAAATATTGAGTTCAAAAGTTCAAATGCTTACGCCGTCCACATATTTCAGTTTCATGTATTCAGGGTTTGAATAAAACATTACATTTTAAAAAAGAGTATTAATAATTTTGTAATTGCAAACCATAGAAAGGTTCTGAATGGCTAAGCACTGTTCCTTATGTCTAGTTTTAAAAGAACACACTATTCAAATTGATCATAAAATCATGCATTTTTAATACCTAAGTAAAGAAGTATAAAACATTTTGTCTTATAGATGTCCTCATTAGCATTTAATTAGTAGACATACACAGTCAATCCAAACCCTAAAATAACCTCATTTTAATCCCTCACGTCAACATTTTCCTTAACATGTAAGATTCCAGTCACAAGCGCGTGTATTTGAGATACTGTAAACATATCAGAAAACCAAAAGAAAGGTAGTAATATACTCTTTAACTTTAGTTCTTCAGTGGAAAAAAATATTTTTCTTTCAAAGACTGTATAACCTAATGCTAGATGTTATGAAGTACAGACCTAATTCCAAGAACCATTTATTTAATATGGTTTTGTGTTGATTTCACATAAACTCTAATGTTCTTTTTATTGCTAATTTATGCACAAACAGACTGTAACTGTTTCCGTTTGAAGCACTAATAGATTCCCAACACAGCTAAAGTGGAAGGGAGCTGAAGACACAACGAGCAGACAGTTCAAGGAGGCCAAAACACAAGCCCTCTGGTACAGTCTCCACAGCAAAATCCTTTCAGCTTGTACTGGCCTTGCTTTCCATTTATGTAATGACATTTTAAAAGCCAAATTATTAGTTATATTTTCTAGTGCTTTAATACCTCTTTCAATTCCATAGTTCAGTGAATGCTTAAGGCTATAATTCTTAACATCATGCTATCTATGGAAGTCACTTTAAGAGCAATTTTTACTCCTTTCCCAGTATTACTGGAGTTACTTTGCCTTTTACTGCTTACAACTGTTTCTTCTCCAAAAGCACACTCTTTCCCAACTTTGTAAGCCATGTCTCCTGTATTATTTATTTAGTGGCAATATTTAACCAAGGTGGAACATCAGGACATTTCTGTCTGTTACAGTGAACCCTTGAGAAGAGAAGAGCAAACACTAATCTTTTGAATTATATCACGGCAAACACATTTCAGCTTTATCATTATTAAATAATACGAGCCCAGGTAAAGCACAGATATGACAGCAAAACACATTTAAGAAAAGTTATTGTAGAGATACATTATTTTTTTAAAAGAAAAACTTCTTTTAATAGCAGAATATATTTTTTCATGAAAAAAAATGCTTGAAGCTAATGCTAATTCTAATATGCTATTAGCCAGCAGATATATCACCCTGTAACTCACAGCTAGGAACCCACTGAAGCCGAGCAGGTGAGTGGGGTTAGTGGGGCCAGCAGTCTGTGGGTCCTAATGCCCCACTCACTCAATGGTGAGTGTTCTGCCGCAACATGGCTGCTGTTGCTTCATCCAGGTGGGGCTTCGCATTGGTGGTGGTGGAGGGGAGTCCCCATTACCTTTGCAGGACTTTGAAAAAGGACTTTGTCCAGAAAATCACTAATTATAAGGACTATTATAATAGAATGGTACTATATGCAGTGGCACTGCATATATTATTGATCAAAAGGTATTTTATACTTAACAAAGCAACATTACAGATCAAAGACCAGATTCTTTTGCCATTTGAGGGTCACATCTTTTTTCAAGTAAAAAAGCTCTACGGCTGTAAAATAGCTCAACATTCTCAAACTGCATTTGTCCAATTTTCCTTCTAATAATTTTTAGTCATAACAGTTTCAAGGCAGCAGCTTAATAGTGGTTAGGGCTCTGAACTCCTAACAGGAGGATTGTGGGTTCCAATCTCAGGAGGGACATTACTGTTGTAGCCTTGAGAAAAGTACTTCTCTCAAATTACTTCAATAAAAATGCCCAGCTGTATAAATGACTTCTCTGCAGGTTGTCAGTATAACCCCCCATCTTCTCTGATTAAATAAAAGGTTACAAAATCACATTGTTCAATAAAGTCAGACTGAATAAACTGGCACATCCATTTATCATCAGAAAGCTTGTTTATTTTTGCTGTTTTTATTCCTTGTAAGTCCGCCCTGGTCAAGGAGGGAACCAGGAACCTATTATTGGAAACAATGGGCAAATGTGCAGGAATGTCTGTTGACAGGATCTTTCTACTTCACTGGAGCAATATAGAGACATGAGTTAAGAAAGTCAAGTCAAGAAAGTCTACAAAGAAGGCACCCCGGTCTTTAAACTCAGGACCCACGAGCTGTGAGGAGGTAGCAGTCTTTAAAAATCCCTCTACACATCCTGAAAAAATAAATATAACATGCAAGTAAAATTGTGCCAGCACCTATTATTTTAACAATACATTCTGTAAGAGACTGTACACAAGGACTGATATAAAGACAGATCCTATACCGTACCAATCACAGCAGAGAATTTAACACTTAGCCTTCTAAGTGTCTGGCGGAGCAGTGGCTCTGTGGCTCAGGATCTGCGCCTGTGACAGGAAGGTTGCTGTTTCAAATCCCACAGCTGGCAGAGGAATCCTACTCTGTTGGGCTCCTGAGCAAGGCCCTTAACCCCAATTGCTCCAGGGGTGCTGTACAATGGCTGACCCTGCGCTCTGACCCCAAGCTTCTCTCTCCCTGTCTGTGTCTCATGGAGAGCAAGCTGGGGTATGTGAAAAAGACAAATTCCTAATGCAAGAAATTGTATATGGCTAATAAAGTGATCTTATCTTATCTTCTAGCTCTAAGTGAAGACTAGTTTTATAGGTAATAGGAATGTGTTCATTATTAACCCTGGTATTTGCTCACTTATCACATGTTTGCCTGGTAATCTATTGAAATGTAAAAGTAAGTTATAGGTTGAAATGGGAAATACTGACCTCCTGTTCCACTGGGGCTAGCACCAGAAGAAGCTGCCCTCTTCCGCTTATCTCCGTCACAAGGCTCGTTTCTATCAGAACAGGAGACCACAGAGAGATCCTCATGAGTCCGACTTGACCCTGAGCAGGTGCCCTCATTTTGCGACACAGGTGACCCGCTTGCTTCCCCTTCGTCCAAATTGAGAGTTATCTGTTGAATCATATCTGCTGCCTCTCCTGTAAGATCTTCTATCTCTTCCGGATTTCTTCCGGTTTCAAAGTCTCTAGTTACCCTGGGAGGAAGCTCATCGCTTACGTCCCCACTTTGCTCCGAGACAGCAGCCTGCTGCGTTTCACTTGGCACCACCTTCTCCTCGGCAGCACTGCTGCAGGAATCGTCCACAGTCCACCCCTGGGAGGCCCAGTACTGAAACTGTTCCCAGTAGCAGAAGTACACTTCATTAGCATGCCTCTCCCATTCGTTTTTACTGGTGGGATGATCCCATGGTGGCAGTGACTCGCCTTTGGAATCTCCAGGATGCGTTTCCAGCCAGCTTTGCCAAAGAAGCTCTTCTCCATGCCGTTCCCAGTATCTCTTCCAGTCCAGGGACACGGGATTCCCAGCGGATGAGGTTCCCCCGTCACCTGCAATCTCATCTTCACTCTTTGGCTCACCCATGGTTTCTGAAGTGCACTGCGCATCTCCTCCTTGCACAGCGACATACTCGTTATGACTTTCAGAGTTTGCATGGTTGTATTTCCTGCTCTTCCTGTTTCTTGTGCATTTTGAAGCATCTTGACCGCCGCCACCTTCATCATATACCACCTTATAATAAAATTAAAAAAACGGTTTTGAGTCCACAGCATGAGCGCTTTGTTGCAAAATATACTTAGATGAAAATTTATCATGCATCAAGAACAGACATTAAAGAGCATGCTTCTAGCACGGTACAGCACATTAGTAGAGGGGGGAAAAAAAGCCATCAATGCAAAGAAAACTCATTATTTACCTGAAGTGTTCTATAACAATAACTACATGTCACTTAAATATTTTTCAATATTTCAACTCAAATCTTTTAACTCAGAAAACATACAATTATCAATTCACACAGGATCATAGCTACTCAACCTCAATAAAATACACAATAAAAGTTTGCAAGGCAAGATGGCCTTATGAATGAATAATAGAGAATAATTATGAAGAATAAAGCTTTCTTGTCCACTAAGGTCATACCAGTATCTCAGGAAGTATTACAGAGCAAGAACCAGCTCATCCCTCAGATCCATAACTGAAGTACTAATCCAAAGGATCTGAATAATAGATTTAAATTATTTCAAAATATTTACAGTATTTCTAATCATATATTGTACCCGAGATCCTGTAGTCTTTTTTATTTCAAATGTCTAAAACAGACATTATAATCCAAAATATAATATAATGTCATTCAAACATGATGCCAAAGTGATAATGTTTTTCAAAAGATTGAGACTGAAATTCGGGAAAGTTTATTTTTGACACTTTGAAACTTTTCTCTTCAGAACAACCTCATTTTCCATGAAAACCAATTACAAAACATTTCAAGATTAGAGTAAGCATATTTTAATTAAAATTTCAAACATAATCTGATTATTTTTTAAAAGAACAAAGCCTAGTCAGCAGTAAAATATGATTAAAAATGAATGAAGAAACCATCAATTACAAAAAAGCGCAAACGTAATAAATGCATTGCCGCATATTACAATAAAATGAAGATACGGCGAGATATCCAGAGCAGGAAGCTTGTTCAAAAGACTCCAAACGCAAGGTCTCCTGTTCACTCAATTTCTATCCAATTAAACAAGAACTGCAGATTTTGATGTGATCAGACACCAAAATGTCAGAATGCAAATTCATTATTTTTCAAACTTGCCACATAGCTTTTAAGATACAACCTTCTGAGGGGATGAGACATTTCTTCTGCATGTGGCACAGCTGTTTAAAACGATATGCTATTCACTGCTGACAACAGACAAATCAAAAGAAAGCCCCAAGTGTGAAGCTCTCAGCTATAGAACTAGTGACTAATGGTAACCAGAATATACAATACTACACTGATCATGTCTTTGGACCTCATCTATTATATTCTGATATTCTGGAGAGACAATGCACATCCTTATGGTGCTCAAGTAACAATGGCTTTCTTGCGAGACGACAGTGTTTCAGTTATGCAATGTAAATCCTACCCAATAGCCTTAAGCCTCAATGAACATTTATTAGATGAGCTGGGATAGTATGTGGTATCTAGGGCTCAGGGAGGAGTAACAAGGCACAGTCTTGTCCAGGCATGAGAGAAATGGCCAGTATCCCATAAACAGCATCTGTATCTCAGTCATCACATATGTACAGCCTACATTGCTTAAAATAGTGACCCCACATGCTAGTAGCCTGAGACTTTCACAGTAGGTACCACATTGATCAATTCTCTTGATGAGAAAAAGTTGATAATTATAATGAATTTTAAATGCCATGTCTATTCACTGTCAGTGCACCTGCTACAAAACTACCATTTTCCTAAAACCTCGGTGAATATGTTACAGTCCAAAGTGCTAAAATTGTTTTGATGCACAATGTACTAATAAACACTGCTAAATAATGTGTTGGGCCCCTATAAGCAGTGACTGAATTTTAAGAGGTTTTGAAATTATTTGATGTCTTTGCTTTAGAAAGATGGCCTTCAGCTGAGGCTGTGGTGAGGGTAATGATGTGTAGCATTAAATTTCACATTCCACCGGACTGAGATCTAGAGACTGATCAGCCTGGGGAAAGCAATGAAAATCTGGCTCATACTCATCAAGCCTACCACACACTGCCTACCATAAAGGTGCCAGTGCATGTTCAGGCTATACTTGTCTACTGCTGTGTCTTCATGTTCTATGTATTTATTTAAATCATTACAATATGGTAAGGTTTTGAATGCAAGCAAACCTGGTTATATACATGTAAGACTTCTGTTTTGTAAATACAAAGTTGCTTTTTATTATTTTCACATTTAGCATCATAAGGAACTTTTGACTTCAGGCCTTTGTCTCAAACTGAATTCTGTTTTCCTAATTCTAATTCTGAAGTGATCATTATTTTTTTTTAAATGCCAGTGTTTTTGGTAACTGTATATTTTTAGGATTCTACGTTCCAGGGGATTACACCTTGGGTGGCTTGCGTTCAAAGACTAGACAGCCACATTTGTGCCACAAACAGTATCTGGCGTCAGCCAAGATAGAGGCCTGACCCACATATTCAAAAACCTTTTCCAAATCTTTTTTTTATCAGCAATTCTACCAGCGGAGTTGAAATTAGCTTATTTCATCAGAAAACTTTTTTCACGTTTGCACCTGCAAATTGTTCTAATTTTTACATCGGCCGTCAGTAATGAAATACGTTTGGAGATATGCTTCAAAACTGTGCCTGATCAAAAACTGTTGGGACAATCAACTCCACGTTTCATTAACAGTTCTAGTGCCAACAAGACAAAGATTTAAATGAGATTCCTTTCTAAAACAAGATGGCAGCCTGATTGTTATTGCATTTTGACTGCTGTTAGAAGGTTGCCCGTAACGCCTTTTGGCCAAAACCTGTGGCCAGTGTCATTTGAGTGACTGTGCTTTTAACAACTGATGCACTGATATTCCTGCATATACCAAGAGGGCTGCCACTCTGTCTTCAATCACATTATATTATTCTGACTGAAATATCCTTGTTCACATGAATTAGGATGTCTGTTTCATGAATCGGGCAGTATTTACAGTAATACCCATTTTCATGAAATCATAAAACAGTCAAAAATAACAACTTACTGTGCACTGCTTCTTAGTTGAGGAGCTACCAAACTGGAGTGGCAACCCCATGCTGATCATAAGCATGGCCTCCTCATCCAGTTCTTCATTAACCTCTTGCTGTGCTTCATCTACAGGAGACACAACTGGCTCCTCATCATTTCCTTCCAGACCTGAAAAAAAAACGGTTCCTAATTCACACTCTCTCTTTTACATTTATGACGGATACAACAGTGCTGAGATTTCCCTAAATAAAAAAATTATAAAAATATAAAAAAGAAAAAAGAATCTGTTGTACTGCAGGAAAGTCCCACAAAAAATACACACTAAAAAGCCACAGAAGATCAACAAAATTTACAACATCATACGAAGCTTGTGCATCACCACAGTTTAACATTGAAGTCTGATCACACGACAAGGGAATCCTTCTTTATTCTCAATTATTATTGTTATTTATTTAGTAGGGGGCCTTGCATTTGTATTCATTTCTAAATCTAGACATTTTCTGAGAAGCGCCATGCTTAATTGTATAATAGCATTCTAGACCTTCAAGTTCCAAGTGCAAATCCCTAACCACTACCCTAGGTTGACCTCTAACCTCCTGGAGCTACAAGCCACACCAGTCTGCTTATAACCTCTTATGACTGAATCTTTAGCAGCATAATCTGGCTTCTTCGCAGCATTTATATAACAATTGGATAGATTCAAGCTTGTGAAGCACAATATTCTTTCTCACATCACTTCTTGGGTTATTTCTGTCCAAATCAGATCTTTAAAAATAAACTTAAATGTATAATGAATCATATTACTCTATTATACCTTAGAGCCTACTGGGAAATATTTGACTAATATAACAATGATTCTTGTAGTTCTCAACTGAAGCATTTATAAAAAATGAATGGATAACATAACCTTTAAAACAACTCAATTTTGCCTCATACTGCATTGTTCTGTTTATTATTTAGTCTAGAAGTAGGATATTTTCTGTTGAGCTTGTAAGTTATATATTGGATGTGCTGCCATTACTGAAAGCTAAACCTCTTCAATCACTACTGCAATAAATAAAAATGTCCATTCCTTTCAGTATGGTTCATCAAGGTTTGATTTTTCTTACCTTCAGGCTTGTTTTCCGCAAAGTCCGTGCTCTCACAGATGTCCTTTAAGCTATACCAGCACAGCTCTTGATCTCTGTGAGATCAAACAAAAAAAATAAAAAAAAACTATTTCAGGAACCAAGAACAAGTATTTCAAAGAAAAATATTAGAAAGTGAACTAACAATCTCACTATTCTTAGAATCTTGTAATGGTATCTTTCAATAAGGGGTATGTAAACATAAAGTACATATTCATTTCTTTCAGAAACCCACACAGAACAAAATGCATTCCAGTGTAACTGATATTTCTTTTCCCACAGTATGTCAAACTTACAACATCACTCATTTATTTCATATAGGACATTGTTTTTTTGACAACACATTCTCTGTAGAAAGGCTAAGACACAGAAACTACCTTTGTGTGTGGGGTTCAAGACTTAGGGATTATCTAAAGCTGCATTTTTTTCTCTTTTTCTTCCTGCTTCCACCTGGCCATTGTAGTCAATGCTGCAGTATATGCTGTCTGTACTAGGGGATTCATCATCAGTGCAGATGAACAGGACCTTGCGTCCTGCTTTCTTTTCTTTGTGCTTCAAGTTTATTTTTACGGGTTTTTATGCATAAAGAGCAGCGTAAAACACATATCGGCACTGCCTTTTGAAGCGGATTTATTTCTATTTTGTTCACTGTACCATCCTAATCGTATGTTCTTGGGAACAATAGGTTTATTCCATGCTGAAAAAAAGGAAGAAAGAAAACACAACGTTTCAGCCGTGGAGCCTTCTTCAGGTGTCTAAAGAAGGCTTTAGAAGAAGGCTCCACGGCTGAAACGTTGTGTTTTCTTTCTTCCTTTTTTTCAGCATGGAATAAACCTATTACTTGTTCCTTTGCAGCCTACGCATGGTGACGCAGCTACCGACCTGAACTTATATTCTTGGATCCGACTATTGCAGGAAACAGCATTGCAGGATTCTTAAGGGTGCTGATAAGCCCAGTTACTACTACTTTCCCTGAGCTGTCAGTCCTAACTCTTCAGTTGAAGTGTATGAATGAGGTCACAAACCAAGTAAAACAATGTTAATCCATATCTCAGATTCTTTTTACTTTCAGTTTAATTAAAAATTACTCTCAAATATGGACTCTTTGACTACTGTTCAAAGAGGTACAGTTTCCAAATTACTCTACAACCTCAGCAGTCCTTCATTCTATGGCATCACAGAAACAATTATGGTCTGGAATGACGTTTTGTCTGTCCCTGGTGTACAGCATGAGTGCTTCATTTAATAATCTATGTGACAGGAACATAATTAAATTACATTTCCCATTAAACAGTATAATATGCTGTGCGGTTATTAAAGGGCGTTTTCTTAAATGGTTTTATGGAATCTTTTATGGAGATATACTCTCGACAAACAGAAACGTTGAACAAGTTGAGGGGCTCATGTTATTTGTGCACTTGGCAAAAGATCAGATTCTGCTTCAGAGACACAACAAGTGTACATCACCAGCTTCAAAAAACAATTTGTGAGTGGAATGCCAATGTGATTCAGATTACTAATACAGTAGTAATCAGCACCTAACTGTTAAAGGATCTAGCTTGATCCAGCTGGTACTTGCAAGATTGGTTTTGAGAGCATGGTTGAATAGTTCGCTCCAGATACCCACAATCCTTTGAGCAAGAAAAAGGCCTCCTGTTCTCAGATTTAAATGCACTTCTTCTTGGTTTCCATTTGTGTCTTCTGTTTCAGGTTTCATGTTAATCCTGCAGAAGTCCAGTGGATCAACCGTGCCAGTACGTTCGAGAATTAGAACACCTGAATCACATGCCCTTACAGTCTTCTGTGATAAAAACTGAAGACATTACTTTTTAACTGGTACATACCAGGTTGCTCTTCTGCAGACTGATGACATAGAAGCAATATATTTTTCTATACTGTGTTGATAAAAAATGCACATAGTATTCTGAAGTGAGGTTTCACTGGTGCATTGTAAAATGTTAAAACACCCATTCTTGATTTAAAAATTATTCTATAAACAAAACATCTTAACACTCTTTGTCTTTTCTTTGTTTCTGAACATTCACTGAAAGGTGAAAATGATGAAGACATATTGTTGTACAGCAGCATTTTTGTTTTTATTGAAACAAATTCCAAAATGAAATAAAAGCAGGTCTAATATTGTACAAAAAAGCTGACTTAAAAAGAGAAAAATCAGATGAACACACCATTTTGGTTTTACATTGTCCTGCACTTGCATCCACGTTAAGCCCTACTAATACTGCACAAATCTCTGGGTCTTGGTTCAGGATGTGTGAACTCAGCCCTAATCCCGTCATGCCACCAGAATGAAACTTTTTAAGTAGATTATAAAACCTACTGGCTTCTGCCTGCCCTAACTTTAAAACAATAGAAAACTCCAGAATGGCCCTTTTAAGAGAATATAAACACCTGTCACTGAAGAAATTAATTTATTTACTCATCAGCAACATATTCACCCACATTACACAAGTACAGGCTTATATTACATCTTAAGTTTTTATAAGGGCAGAATGTAATTATCCCGTTGTAAACCGTAAATGCAAAAACTCATTTCAAAACTAAGTGGCCATGGACAACCTGTTCCAATGTATTTAAATATCTTATTATAAGAACCAAGCAAATCATGAGTACATTTAGCTTCAAGCTACAAGGAAGTAAAAATATTGATTAAGTAAAATCATTTTAATAAAAGATAAAGAGAAAAGGGACAGATTGGTTTTCAGAAAACTTTACCTGTTGCCTAATTTTGCTTAATAATTCCATCTATGCAGCACTGAAAATCTCATTAGCTGTATTTAGATTTGCTCTGTTCAGGAAGATGAAATATGTTTGGCACCATAAATGAAGAAGATTTCTTACAAGCAAATAAACAATTACCATTAACGCAAATTAAAGTAATAATAGAATCTCAAGGAAAATGAGTTATAACAATAAACAAAAAGTACCAATGTGTAAACAAGAAGGTTTTGGGTCAAGTACAAAACTATAACAATGCCTAAGTATGTTTATGTGGCAGGTTACAAAGAAGTAATGCATTGATGTATGTCAGGAAAGGACAAAAAAGTGACACGACACTACAGATTTGTAGTGCGTGACTAAAATTACCCTAATTACATTATCTACACACACAGCAATAGAAATACTATATATTTCTTCTCAATTACACACAAAGGCCTTGTGCAAGGGAATAGAGAATCACTGGCTTAGAACTCTCTCCTTAAATCCCTTGAACAGGAAAAAGTGATGCATAACACTGACTGCTGATAGTGAACAAGCAATACAGTTTTTCAATAGACAGATTCATTGCTCAGCCTTTGCCTAAGAATAAATGTAAGATTAAGTTTAAAAACACACACAATCCTAATTCAAGTATACAGGACTTACAAGGTTTAGCAGTACTGTTAACAAAAACACCTACAGTCATACAGTATATTCCCGTATTTTACTACAAGTCCTAAACCAGCCTTAATTGATTTTTTCTTTCTGTTATGCACATTCATAAAGCTTTTGTACTTTGAGGTCCACCACTTTAGATGTATACTTTCATTTGTTTGTAGAGGACAACAGGGCTGATGGAACATCTACAAAATTACAAACCATATCATCTGCCTTAAAGGTAGGCGACTAAGGCTTCCAGATGCTCATTCTACTTCAGCCTTATTGAGAGGCACTGCACTAGCCACATTCACCTTTTTTCACGCTTGATAAAATGTTTGAACCAGTTCATAAGTCTGCCCTTCCTTACTGTACAGAATAAAGTGAATACATTTATCCTCCACTACAAAATACTTAATATTAGCTGCTAACCTCACCTTCTACAGTAACATCATCCATGCCCAAAAGTATTCAAACTGTATGTTTGCGAAGAAAAATATTTCAAGGCGCTCAGGGCTGATTCTGAAATTCTGAAAACCCACAATAAATACTACTCAATACAACAATCTGTACACACTCTACTCTGGTCAATCTGTGACAAACTAGAACACCTGAACTCTGTCCCTGTGACACAGTAAAATCTCATTTCATGTTTTAGACAGTGCATTATGTCTGCTGCCATTTCAGACTAGAGGTGAAATAGACCTGCGGTGTTTTATTTAATATAGAGTAAATTAACTTAATATAGAATTCCTCAATGCAGATTAACAAAATTTGGTATTTCTTTATCCTAATTTAAATCAAACTACTCCATCAATAAATGAGCATGGGTTATGGGCAAGTGCAATCAGAAGTTATATGCAAAATGAAGGGATATAGTCCAATGAGAGGCACTCAGGATGACAGTGGAAATGTACAGGTTCTGGAAAGCTCTGCGTATTCAACCGGAAGAAGGGTGTATAATGATTTTGTAAAGGCTTTTGACTTTTTGCTTAACTGAAGTTGATGTCTTTTACCATGTCATATTATATTTATTTTAAAGTAAAGCTTATGTAGACTGTTTATATATTTTTATATATCTGTGTGTGCGTAAGACATAGCTGCTTGAATACAAAATAAACTTTGGGCAAATACAACAAGTATTGTCATATCATCAATGTACAGTACACCTATAAACTAGGAGCTATAAACCGTAGCTTGGCATTTAAAAGTGAAAGACCCTCAACTTTGACCACTGAATCGGACTTTCAAAATCAGAATAAAACACCAAAACTGAATAAAGGATCTCAAAAACAAAATGTATTTTGTAACTTGACAAGGATCATAAACTTTGTGTAAAAAAATCGTGTTTGACTCACACTGTGCTCCCAGAAAAAAACACAACACTGTAAATCAATTTATAAAATGCTGAGAAGGATACCATCTTATCTTCTCTGGCCAATGATAAAGTAAAAAAGCAAATTTAATTGAACTTCTCTAGCACTACAAAACAGAAACTGTGGTACACACAGGACATAAATGGTCCCTAATTCTCCTGGTGCTGAGCACCAGCCTTCACAAGCAAGATGAAATCAATACGCTTTCGCTTATGAACCATGCTTTATGAATTCACAATAGTACCAATGATTTGTTGATTCATGAAGAAAGAACCTCAAAACTGAAATGTAATCCTTTTCATAAACCTAACCATGCTGCAGGTATACGTTTAGACCTGGCTGAAAACTTCCATTGTTGACACTGTCTGACACTAAATAGTAAATGTTGTCTCAATTATGGGCAAACAAACATCAAATCATAAGATTGTTGTCACTTACTGTACAAAGGCTCTCGAGCACAGACAGTGAATAGTATTATCGCCATCCAATCCATCGATGCTGAGAAAAATGTCAGCAATCAAACTGCACTTTCCACTTATCATATTGTAGTTTTTACACTTTCTTCTGGAGAATGAAAAAACAGAATGAGAACTAAACAGAACACAGTGTTGAATTAAACACTGAAACATGCACATATTAATTTAGATGTCCAGTAAGGTAACTAAGGTAACTTAACACAACAAATGTCTAACGTGACCAGGAATCAGATATGAAAAGATTTGTAAATAGAGGTAAGTCATAGCAATCTTAAGAAAAAAACATTTCCAACAGAAACTTCTGCATGTTGTCGCTATCTGTTGTAACTATCGTACTCTGTTTCGACATTCATTTTAATTTTGTCATTCAACCTTTTCCTTTCCCTAAACTGCGTTATAAATTTACTTTCTGAATCCTACAGTCCTCGCATCAGCAAGAATGACAACTAAACCTTACTGAAATTCTGTCTCGCATACAAATGTTCAATCGTTGCTTTAAAATGCAACATACAGCAACACAACCACCACCACACCATCTATGAACGTCACTCACATGTTTTCAAAAGTAGGAAATCAACACTCCAACAACTTCCTCTTGGTGTCACACTGATCTCCAACCGGTCGGAGAAGGAAATAAAATAAGTTACACTTTCAGGTTCCTAACAGTGCGATGAGGTTATGAATCTTAAGAGCGTTTTGGGTTTAGCCGGTGTTACAGCTGTATTGATGATTTCCCCGATTTTCACAATGTGACAAGCCTGAGGTAATAAAACACTTAACCGCGAGTTGATGTGGGCTAGTATTGCTTTGTTGTCTCTGTTCACTGTATCAGGTCAAATGCCTGCGATCTCCTTGTCGTCGTGTTTCGGGTCTCGGTGCCTTTGCTTCTGTAGTATTACGAAAAGGCTTGGGTTTTAAACGAAAACAAAAAGTATTTAGAAAAATACTTTTTCTCATTTCTTTAACACTCTATAAATATAGTCATGTACGTTACTGTTTAGAGACTTAAAAAACATTTATGTTTAAAACGTATAGAATGCAAGGCTTAAAAAAGTAGCAGGGGTGATGCACTTTATGTTAACAATGGTGAAATATTTTCATATCCCATGATGTTTTTGACAACTTATTCATTTGTTATTGATATTTACGTGAGCTCTGTTCGCGAAAGGTTTGTCATGAGCTCCGAGTTTAAACAGATCTCGCGATTAGTTCTGTTAACGAGATCAAGTGGTTAAACCCGGCGAGTTTCCAGACAGGAGCTTTGCACGGCTATACCGTAGCTGTACTGTATGTGTCAGCCAGCCATCTCTTCTCTCTCACTCTCTGGACATTTGTTTTGTGTCCATTTTAGGTCTGAGAACAAAGAGTTTACTTCTCACGGCAGGTGGGAGGTTAATGCTGCTTAAGAAATCCCTTAACCAAGGCTGTGAGGTGCTCGTTCGTTAACCAGTACCAGGGAAACTGTCAATCAAACGCGCTATCTCGTCAGCGGAAAATGGGACAGAATGCCGCCGGTCAGTCAGGTTTTATTCAAAAGATGCCTTTCTTGGATAAACCTGAAGACAGTAATTTGATTCCTTTCCTATGTGTAAGAGGTGATTGGACTGTTAAAAAAAATAAATTGACGCAAGTGATTTTTATTATTCTAACGCACAAATGCCTCTGGAAATGTTCCAAGACTGATTTACGTTTCTGTTCGTCATTGCGTGCCCCAATTTAACCATTTACTGTTGGTATACAGAAGAGATCAGAAGCGCTGTAGTAAAGTACTTGATTGTACTTAATGTTAACCTAGGCCGTCTGTAATTTAGTAGAAATGGTCAATTCAAATATTCCACAAAAGTTTGGAAATGGGGTCATTCTGTTTCAAATAAAAAATCAGGAGACACCACTGCCTCAGGATTCCCACGGTACTTCTATTTTGCGTAGTGAAAGACAGTCGACAGGTGTGAAACAAAGGCAGACATTAAAGCCCAGTGACACCTGTATTATATCTAATATCGGAATAATTTTGTGGATCTATCTAAAAACATATATTTGCAACAACAATTGCTCTTTAAATGCTTCTGCATTGATAGTTGAGTGTAATGTTAGCAGACCTGATCATAAGTGCCGTAGTTTTACCGATGTGCAACTGGGGACCTTAAATTGATAAATTGTCCGTTTGTAATTTTTTTTCTTGATTTTAAGAACCCTTTCCTTATAAAAATCCAATGTCAATTTTACATTTTACATTTACATTTACATTTAAGAAATTTTAAATTTCTTAATCTTAGGTTTGCTCTTCATTAACTTTCTGTAAGCAGTTATGCAGCTGTCTATGTGCTCTGTTTGGGGGACTCCCCCCTAAAAAAACATGATCCCATCCTTTAAAGGACTGAACCACTAGTGGAGCATAAGTTAACTGATTCCTGGTGGTCTTGTTATTGAAGCTAAACAAGTATGAGCCTGGATGGGAGACCTAGGAAAGCTAAGGTTGCTATTGGAAGCAACCAGTAGGGACCACTCTCACTGTGATCTGGGAAGGTCCTAGTGCCTCAGTATAGTGATGGGGACGTTATATTGTAAAAAAGGTGCTTTCCTGACTCTCTGTGGTCATTAAAAATCCCAGGGCATTTCTCCAAAAGAGTAGGGATGTTTCCCTGGTGTCCTGGCCAGATTTCCCCCTTTCTTTTACCAATGAAGGTAATTGCCTACTAAATATCCCTGTCTTTGAATTGGCTTCATCACTCTTGTCTCCTCCCCACTGATATTTGATGTGTGGTGAGTGAACTGGCTCACTTTGACTACCTGGTATTATTAGTATTAGTATTAATAATAATATCTGTCACTTTCAGAGTTTAATAAATGTTCAAAGACGATCAACACACTGTTGTTGTGTTGGTTTTATTGTACAGTACTGACAATTAACTTCAGTTTAAACCAAGTGGAAACATGAAAAATAAAGTTGAATTTTGATACTGATGAACATCAACAAAATAAGGACCGTTTTGATTTTTCACCTCTGTGACAGTGCTGTTGCTGTGTATGAGTTAAACTACGTTAATTTCCGCGGTAGAGTTTTACCCTTCCTGGGCATCTCGTATATTCCAGTTTTAGGCTAATGCTTTATTCACAAAGGAAGAAACCAGGAATTAGGAATAAACCCTAAAGTGAACCTGTTTTTACAAGACCATTATTTTTTATTTCGGAAATCCATGTCAAAATGCATTACGAGCATGTCCTGCAGTCATACGTCTGTTAAATATTAACTGTTGAGGGGAGGAAACTTCTTTGTATTGTTTGAGATTTTAAACTCTTTAGTTTACTTACATGAGGATGAGGCAAGATTCAGCTTTCCGCTAGTGTTGTCCTCTTGCACCTGAGAGGGATTTATTGAAAGTCTTTAAATGAATGTGGTGAAAAGCAGCAAGTAAAACAAGCTTTAAAACCGACAAAGAGTAAGGATAGAGATTGTAGGGAGAATTTTAATGTCTTGCTGTGACACCTGTTTTTTATTTATTTAAATCTTAGATCTGCCCTTTGGCAGAAGTACAGCGGTCAGAATCTTGATGCCAGGCTGTGGGGGAAACTGGCACGCTCTCCAGCAGAATGCCAAATGGCAATGACTCGTGCGTGAAGGGGCAGGAATCGGGGAGTTACTTGTCCTGCATGTTTCACCTCTGGGAGGAGTGGATCGGGCTGGGAAACCTGGAAGATTACCTCAACTACCTGGACTACCTGGTGTGGGTTTTCACCCCTCTAGCCGTCGTCTTCATCCTGCCCCTCTTCATCCTGCTCTTCCTCTACCTCTCCATCCTCTTCCTCCACGTCTACAAGCGGAGGATTGAGCTCAAGGAGGCCTATTCCAACAACCCCTGGGATGGTGCAAGGAAAACGCTGGCGACCCTGTGGGACGGGCATGCAGCTATATGGCACGGTAGGTATTTTTGTGGTTTCAGCTTTGTGTGTGTGTGTGTGTGTGTGTGTGTGTGTGTGTGTGTGTGGGGAGGGAGTGCTGTCATATGCTTTACTAATTGGTCACAAAATAACCCTGGAGCTCACCGGT